AGAGAGACATCCTTCATCTCTTGTTTCTCCGGTGTTTCTATACTCATTGCTTCTTTTTTGCGTAGCACCTGATCTTGAAATCTAATTGATTAGCAAAATTTTATAGGTTAATAATGCTAGGATGGTTCTTTATATATAATGTGTGAATATTACATGAGATTTGGTGGTAGTTCTAAAATGCATCTATGATGTTTAACACCATGTATATATTTATTATTGTAATAATATTACAATAATAAATGTAATAAAAAAATATATATATGGTGTTAAACATCATAGATGCATTTTAGAATTACTGAAATTCGATTTCTGAAACTTATATAAAATTAAAATTGTAATTTATATAACACCTTACACTCACCTGATATTGTAATTTCAGATGTCTGAAATTGCACTTAACTGACATTAGCCTCCAAATTAGATCATATAGCACGTATTGGGTTGTAAGCACGATATATCCAAAATATAATGTTTTTAATATTTAGTATATTTAAAATAAGCATAATTATTGTTATTTATACATTATTCTAATTGTAAGTATTAAATTTGTTTATTTAATTTAAAGCTATTTACATTTATGAATACTTACTATTATATTTTTTGTTTTATTCGATTAATATGGTTGGTAAATATAAATATTTATTTCGATTTCTCTTGGTAATTCAGATGGTTGATTTTGATGAACTGATCTATTTATTTTTGATGATTTATTAGTATTTTGTTTTCTCTTAACAATAAATCATTATTTTGAATATTGGTCTGTATTATATTTTGACAATAAGTTGAATATGAAGATGGGATCCAAGATTATTACTTGTGCCAAATAGAAATTATATCCACCAAGAAATTTTCTATCCAGATAAATTATCCTAATAGAAATTCTACCTAGATACAATCTTTAATATTGAATATATAGCATATATTGTTTAACAATCATTCAATTATAAATATTATAAATTTAAGGTTTGAGAAACAAAAATATAAAATTAAACAATTATTTTTTTACAAATTACAATTTAATGAATAAACAAATTCGTAAAATATATAGTAAATTTTTATAAATGTATTTATTTGTTAAATATAGTTATTTTAAATATAGTTTAAATTTACTATTGCATATGATTATATGATGTAGATTAAAGATCAATTTATACGTGATTTTGGAAAATTTCACCTACATCCTGATGCATTTAGATAGAGATAACTACAGCAAAGTAGTTCATAAGGTGGAAAGTTCTCCAGAATCGAAGAAAAAGAAGAAGCAAAAAAGAAGCAATGAGTATAGAAACACCGGAGAAACAAGAGATGAAGGATGTCTCTCTCAGTATAGTTAGCGAAATGAATGATCTGCAGAAAGTAGCTGAACAAGCAACTACTTTCTCAGAAGCAGAACTTACGACAAGAGATGAGCTAGACTTGATAGCCCATTATTTAGAAATAACAACAAAGAAAATAACCCTACTCAAGGAAATGTATTGTTAACAATTCCAATGGAAAATCATATAATTTAGATTTAATACTATCACAGGAAACAAATTTAAATAATCAGGCAACACAAACTTTCATTAAGAAGCAATGGCTATATGAATCAATATAGACAAACAAACTGCTATATTGGCAGGAAGAAAAGAAATAAAATTTTAAAACATAGAGGTCTTATATGAAAGAAGAGTAATCTTTATAAGCTTCACATATAGAGGTCATTTCTTCTCAATTACAAATATTTATGCTCTTCTGAATATAAAAGACAGAACAGCCTTCTTTGACAAGTGGTTCTCACAATATAAAGAAAACAATATTAACATTCTGGCAGAAGATTTTAACACAAATCTAGACCCTGCTATAAACAGAATAAGCCAAGCTTCAGCTCAAAGTAACAATTCTAGAATGCAACTTAAAGAATTGGTAAGAGAAAAAAGATCAACAAGACTTGTTAGCAAAGATAGCATGTGACTTAGTAGAATACAGCATTTGGTCACCAAACAATAGAACATGTGAAGGTAATAAATTGTTCTTTGCAAAGACACATGCCTGCAAAGTAACAGTAAATATATCCAAAGAAAGAGTCATAAACTTAGAAGGAATCTTAAGCAGAGATAAATATTTAAAATCAGAAGTAGAATTTGATTGTAAATATAGCAGAGAGAAAGCAATTAAGAAGGTCAAGAAAAAAGAAGAAGACTGGCTTTGTCTCATCCCAGAATTAGATAATAAACAGAAAGCTAACCAAAGAAGCAGAAGAAATAAATACAAGAAGGTAAGAGACAGCCAACAAAGAGAAGAAATACAAGCCTTTAAGGAAAGAAATCCTTATAAAGAAGTGGAAAGAAGAGGAAGATACTATGAAAAAAACAAAACAGAATGCATCAGATATATCACCATCTGGGAACTACCAAAGGCAATTAGAATGCAAGAAATTCAATATATGTGCAAAAACTTTGGTAGACTAGAAGACATTAAGATTAAAAGAACATAATATAGAGTGGTAGCAGAAGTAGAATTGGGATTTAACATAAAGGAGTACAAGCTGCACTGAGTCCTTTCACAAAGAAGAAATGAATAATTGCTTCAAGCATACTATAAAACTAGGAGTTCCAGAAGAGGCCTTAGAAATGCTATTATTAGGTTGTAACAAAGAAAGAGCCGCAAAAGCAGTATACATTCCTAGAAAAAGAAATGGCAAAATAAAACAAGCAGCAATGATTACGTTCAAACATGAAGCAGACTTAAAAAAGGCAACTAGTAAACCAGTTAGATATAACAACTGGTTACTAAACTGGAAGCAAAAAGCAGATTTGATAACTATTCTCAAAGCCTAGAAAGGGAAACATAGAGAGGAAGATCTCAACAACCTAAAACAGAAGAAAAATTGGAAAAACAAAGCGGAGCAGACCCAAAGACAAAAAGAAAAGGAAAAAATAATGAGCAAAGTCAAAGCCAAGACAACTTAAAAGTGAACCCAAGTATTATTAACAAAATTGACGAATATCAATCAATGCTAATAGAAATATTAAGAAGACTTGACAACATAAGCAATAAGCAGGCAGTGTCTGCTCAATACTCATGAAAGGCACCCTAGTTAAATTTTGAAAAACTAATATAGAGACTAGCCCTTTCATAAAAGCTCTTGGGAAAAAAAAAAACTCTTTCTGGTCCACCTTCGGAAATTTTGGTAAAACAAAATTTCTATACAAAAAAAACTTCATTTTTTCTCAAAAACCAAACAGAGCCAAGGCCCTGACTCTTAGAAAACACAAACAACAGTTTTTTTAAATATAAGCAAGTCGCAACATAAGAAAGCTAGGCTAGACAACAGCAATGACAAAGTTTTTAATATTCTTAAAACAGAAGAGAGCAACATTAAGAAGAGTGAAAATTTAGAGCAAAATACTAAACCTCAACTAAATGAGGCTTCAAATATTATAAATAACTACAACAACACTGCTTCAACATCACTAGTAAAGACTGGGCTAGTTTAACTAAGGAAGAGAAACTTGTTTTGAAAGAAACTTTAGCAAAAGATCCTTCTAAGAATCAAGAATTACGTACAGAAAATGTAAATACAACAAATCACATGCAAAATGTAAACAACAAACAACACATATTAAACAAGAAAAAGCAAAAAGTAAATAGTCAACAAGACATGACACACATGTTAAGCAACAACCAATCAGAAGCACCAATCCACAAGGACTCAAATATTTCTATATGTGACAACATTAAAGAGACTTAATACTCAGAACCGAAGCCAAAACAGTGGTCTAATCTCTTTGCTAAACTTAAAAGAGGAAAAGCAGCCTACATAAGACCCACTCCTAGACAACAAATACACTCCAAGAATGAAAATGCTCTCATTTTTGATATACAAAACCTAAGCAACATTGCAACAAACAATATAATTGCAGTATTAGCAGAGTCTTCTTAGAGATTATTTTGAAAAACAACCAGAAAGTTCAACATTATGCAGCTGAAGGAATCTCATTTTTATCAATCTAAACTATTCTTTTCTTATTATTAAGCTCAAAAACACTCCAATAGGAGATTTTTTTTTTTTTTTTTTTTTTTTTTTTTTTATAAAAAAGCGCATCTAAGCGTACTTTATTTATTTATTCTTATATAAAATAGTAT